CTTGTGATAGTTCGGTGAGCTTTCCCCTTGTGTTGATGCTTCAAATCTTTAGTTTTCACTGATTGGGTGCTTGGGTAAGTTGCGCTTCACCTTGTGATAGTTCGGTGAACTTTCCCCTTGTGTTGATGTTTCAAATCTTGAGTGGGTAAGGTGCGATTCATTTTGGGATAGTTCGGTCAACTCTCCCCTTGTGTTGATACTTCAAGTCTTGAGTTTTCGCTGATTTTGATGCATGTCTAAGTTGCGAATTACCTTGGGATGCTTCGGTGAACTTTCCGCTAGGTTAGATGCTCTCAAATTTGTGCCCTCACTGACTTTGATGCATGTCTAAGTTGCGAATTACCTTGGGTTGCTTCGGTGAACTTTTTGTTGGATTAAGGTGCTCTCAAAAGTTGTGCAGTCCATCTTTACCCCCGACTGTACCCTGTAACATACAGTGTGTGTATGTGTGAGTACTGCAGTCCCCGRTAACTTGTGGAGTCCATCTTTACCCCCTGTTGTACCCAGTAACATTCGGTGTGTGTATGTTTGAATGCTGCAGTCCCCGGTAACTTGTGCAGTCCATTTTTACCCCTTGTTGTACCCAGTAACATTTGGTGTGTGTATGTATGAGTGTTGCAGTCCCCGATAATTTGCGCAGTCCGTCTTTACCCTTTGCTGTACCCAGTGACATTCGGTGTGTGTATGTGTGAGTGCTACAGTCCTTGTAACTTGTGCAGTCCATCTTTACCCCTTGCTGTACCGAGTAACATTCGGTGTGTGTATGTGTGAGTGCTGCAGTCCCCGGTAACTTGTTCAGTCCATCTTTACCCCTTGCTGTACCCAGTGACATTGGGTGTGTATATGTGTGAGTGCTGCAGTCTCATATAACTTGTGCAGTCCATCTTTACCCCTTGTTGTACCCAGTGACATTCGGTGAGTGTATGTGTGAGTGTTGCTGTCCCCGGTAACTTGTGCAGTCCATCTTTACCCCTTGTTGTACCCAGTAACTTTCGGTGTGGGTATGTGTGAATGCTGCAGTTCCCGGCAACTTGTGCAGTCCACCTTTACCCCTGGCTGTACCCGGTGACATTCGGAGTACGTGCGTGTGTGTGTGTGGGGGGGGGGGCTGCAGTTCGGTCCCTTCCCCGTTTTTTTGGTGACCGGTGACTTCCGAGAGTGATATGGGGCAGCCAGGCACCCGAAGTAGAAAGCGAAGGCACAGCGCTAGGAGTTGGGATACGTCCAACGGGCCTTCTTTCACGTTCATCCCCCGTAGCCGGACCACCCCAACCCTTCTCCCTCCTCCATCACTCACACCCGTCCACCATAGCCGACCACCCCCAACCCTCCTTCCTCCTCCGTCACCCACACCCGTCCACCATAGCCAACCACCCCCAACCCTTCTTCTTCCTCCATCCCCCACACCCGTCCACCATAGCCGACCACCCCCAACCCTCCTTCCTTGTCCGTCACCCACACCCGTCCACCATAGCCAACCACCCCCAACCCTTCTTCTTCCTCCATCTCCCACACCCGTCCACCATAGCCAACTACCTCCAACTCTTCTTCTTCTTCCTTCATCACCCACACCCGTCCACCATAGCCGACCACCTCCAACCCTTCTTCTTCCTCCATCACCGACACCCGTCCACCATAGCCAACCACCCC